ATTCACTTATCTTAGATATCTAGGGTATTAAAAGAATTAGGTCTATAATAAAAATGATAAATCTGTAGAGTATCGACTTCGGTACTAGTTCAGTATTTTACCATTTTCGTTATTATTTTTATACAACGTAACTGAAGAATTCATCAGACGTCTTGGAATTCGAGCATATGTTATAAATTAGTTATTTGATTATTTATTAAGTACTTGTTACCAGTACCGCACCTAGAATTTTCATCTGGGGGGGGGGGGGAGGGTTTGGTGGAGCACCGAAATTTTTTATGCTACCTCCATTTTAAGTCCTTAAAATTTGTGAATAACAGTGTCGGAATAGGGTCCTGCGGGGTTTTCACCCCCAAAACCCCCCCTGTGTGCGCCACTGCTTATTACTTTCAATAATTTAATTGCAAAATAAATGTCTTTTATCCTCGGTATACTGTAAATTTACATGTTACATATGACATTTTTGTTATAGAAACATTTAACTTCCAATTAAAAAAAATCGATGACATCTTATCTTGTAAGGTAGTGTTAGTATTACAAGTAATTTTTTGCAAAAAAGTAGAAAACTGAAATAGAAAATCGACATTTTCGAACATTACTTCCAAAAATAATCAACTCATAATCTAATAATGAACTTCCATACTATGAACGCACTGTATACCTAACTTACATATAATATCAATATTACTGTAAACACTATATATCAAATTTATTTAGCTCACGTTTGCAAAGTGTAAAGCTTATAACTCCCTTTGGGGTCAACTTCAGGACATTTGTTGAATCTTCTTCTGGAGTGCTACTTTACTGCATATCGTCCACTTACTACCAATACTTCCATCTCCATTTAGGCTGATTGTGCAGGAGAAGCAAAAACTGTTTTTAGTCTTATTGGTTATAAATAGAAACAAAATGATTTTGTGGTATTATTTTTAATGAATAAATTTAATAATTTAACAAATTAAAAAATTAACAAGTTTCTTCAATTATTAATTTATTAACATAATTTATTACGTTATTCTATCTAATCTTAAATCGAGAGTACCTACTAATATTTTTTTTAATTCTTTTCCGTCCTAACACAAGTCTTAATATTTAATAACTGATTATGTTAGCTATGAGGCAGATGATCATAATAGATGTGACAATCAGGAGGAATCACTTTTTTTAATTCCTGCAAGTGTTTATACTTTATTGCAGTAATGGGCATTGGACTACTGCGTACAGTCTTGTACTCATAACAAACAGAAATTTGCCGAGATCTTATTGGTAGTTCCATCCATTCTTCGTCAAAGTTAAGCTTCACTTGAAGATATCCAGTAGGTTTATAACCAATAGCCCTTATATCTACAACTTTAGGATCACCAGCGTTTCGTCCAGGTCTTAGTGTCGAATATCTCCAAGTTGATGGATCTGCATAATTAAAAAAAAAAATAGTGATGCATAAATTGCGTTTCATATTGGAATGGACGTTGTCTTGCTTCCTGTGTTGCAGATACGTAATTACTAGGCATGTGGATACTGCGATTTTTTAATTTTCTTTCGATGGCACTGTGTACTGAGTCACATTCCATTTGAGTGTGACCGACTTCTAGGTATTTTTGGGTTACTGATATGTTATGACTCATTGCAAAATTAAGCAAAGCATTGGAAAGAGTAATATTCCTATTTTGATTTGTGCAACCATCAGTAAATATCACAATAGCTATACCTTTAGGTAAGCAGTGACCTGTCAAGTAATCAATTAGTAGTGATGCATAGGTAGAAGCGTTTAAATCTGCTTCAGTCTCGGTAAACCAATAACAGGTGACATGATGGGATGTAACATTATAAACTGTATAATTGTGCATAGATAATTTTGTCTTAAAATATATTGCACTAGCTGTGACATGAGGACAAACTTTAACTGCCTGAAGATCAGAGTGAGTACAATACACTCACCCTTTTCCGCTTTCAACTTGTCAGCGATCTTTCCTCTCTCGTTAATTTTTTTCTCATAAGATGTGCCTGATACTCATGTGCATCAACGTTACCTACATAATGAGAGGCGCACGTATCGCATGTCTTTTTTTATTTGATGAATGGATAAGTTTTTTGCATGAAATTCTTCATGAAATTTCTTACCGGAAAATGATGTAATGTTTTTCTCCACGCAATATTCTTTGTAAAGTTTGTAAAGGTGCGCTTGTGACTTGTACATAGGCTCAATAAACAATTTACTTGTATTTTGCCTGTTGTAATGTGATGGCATCTTCGGTAGCGAGTCAAAAAATTATTTCAACATTCGGATTGTTTTAAAACTGTTGCTATAACAGTTTTCCTACGATTTGTATTTTGATTGTCCTGGGAAGGCTGGATACCATAAAAACTTTTTTTCAGCCACGACTGAACGGTGAATGAGCCTAATCCTGTTGTGTTTAAAAACATAGTGCGGCATACTGGAATAGTTTTTGTCCCGTTATCATCTTCAATGGGCAGTGAACATTTTAGGGTGGTGCTTCTCGTCGAATTTCCGGGTATCGTTTTTAGTGCTGTACTTTTTTTCTGTACATTGGAGCACACATACATTTTTCTTTGATCCCAATTAAGATCTTTCCAGAACTTTGTAAAAATAGTTTCTCTTGTATCTTCATTAATCTTTTCACACAGCCTCTTCTTACTTTTCTTACAAAAATTAGAAGTGCAAGTCGGTCCCATTTTACGCTCACTTCTTAGTTTATTATGTTTCATTTTACCATCTTTAGGTTTTGTGTATCCAAGATAAATTTTCCTTCCATTCTTAATTGTTTATTTCGGTTTTTTTTTCCAATTTTCCTTCTGGGCGTTTCGTCTTCTTTTCAGTCCTTCCTTCACATTGCCGTGAAAAACTTCTTCAATTATTTCTTTTTGAGCTGGTAACGCCTCTTGATCTGATTGTGAGGATTCTGACAGTACAAGTGGCTGCACATAGTTGTCATCGGAGCCTGAAGAAAAATCCGACTGAGATAAATCTGCAGCATCTGTTTCTGTAGATGCATCTGGTAGATCAAGATCTGCACCAAGTGTGTCCATTGATTAATTATGAAATTGGCTATTCTCTTCAGGCTGAATACTCGTATAGTTGACATTCTCCATCTCTAAATAGTCTGAGTTTGTCTCAACAGTTCCAAAAAATTGTTCATTACTTAAGATGAAAGGGTGCATAAATCAGTTTTGTTTACACATGTTCATATTGCTCAAGTCACTACGATGCTACATCTTTCCTATACTGTTGTACGGAGTTGAGTCATGGACTCTCACAGACGCCACCTGCAAGAAAATTGAGGCTTTATCGTCGCATCATGAAGATATCGTATCGGATATCTATCCGACCACGTTACTAATGAGGGTGTTCTGTTGAAAATGAAAAAAGAAAAAGAGCTGCTAACCACAATAAAAACAGCAAAAATCGAATACCTCGGTCACATCATGAGGAACAGCGAAAGATATGGACTGCTGCAACTAATCTTGCAGGGAAAAGTAGAAGGAAAACGGGGACCAGGAAGGCGAAGGATTTCCTGGCTGAAAAATCTACGAACGTGGTTCAACACAACAACCACAAATCTTTTTAGAGCAGCAGTGTGCAAAGTGCAGATTGCCATGATGGTCGCCAACATCCGAAACGGATAGGCACTACTAGAAGAAGAAGATATTGCTCCGGTAAAGTTATATTTATGCACATAGGAAGAATTGTTTCTTGTGATCGTTCGGTGTTAATAACACCTGGTGAATATGGCTCATTCGGTGTAGGTAGGGCTAACGGCTCATCTGATGCAGTGTCGGTAGACTGACACAATTCAAGCAACCTCAACGTTCTACGGGACTTTAGTGGATTTCGTGACCTGAAATAATAATGAGTAAAAGTATTCATTCAAAAATATCTGACTTTATAATACTAATGATTGCTTACCCGTATAGGAAACGTATCTACAGGGTGCATTTTTAGTGTGACATTGGTTGGTAATGCAGTACTTCTTCATAATATACAGTTTATTTAATTCATAGCGATTTTGGAATAAAAATAGTCATAACTCATTATATACCCTGTATATAGTAGCGTAGCATCCCATATTGTAAGAATAGGGATTATGACCGAAATCTAAATATGAAAAAATATCTACAGTTTTCCATTTAAAATTTTGTTTGCTTTAACGTAGTTATTAAACTCCCTGTAGAATTTAGCATATTTCGAAGGAGAATATCGTTGCCTACAATTTTCTAAATAACTTTTTTTGATATCCTGTACTATAACGTAATTATCAATCAATGCCACTAAAAACTCATCATGTATGTTAAAAAGAAATATCTCCTATGTTCATAAATCATAAAAACATCTAACCTAACGTATGTAAAATCTATGGCGTGGAAATAACTACTATCTCTCAAAATTTGTGTATCATAGGCAAGGCAAATCAAATACAAATGATTTTTCTATTTTAATTAGCTCTACTTTTAAGTATGAATGTTAACTATAAGATAAGCATAAGAATAATACCAAATTGTACTAAAAAGTATTAAAATACTTACATTTTCGTGGCGTATCGCTGGTATTCACTAATCCCATATAAAAATAGCAGGCAAATGAAAGATAGCAGATAATGCTTCTGAGAATTTGACAGTTTAAAATATAATGTATTTTCACTGACCGTAATTTAATATTTATGACTTGATTTAAGATGGGATGTCTTGGCATTTTGTCAAAATTTCGAAGATAGGAGGTATTGGTAGTAAGCGGACGATGTACTATAAGACTAAGATAACACTGACGTAGATTTATCATTCGTAAGTTAAAAGCATGTTAATAGACATACTTAAGATCGGCTAGCATAGTGTGTGTCCTCAACCTTTTTACATTGGTGAAGTAGTATAGAAATATATCTTCTTAAGTTCTTTGGCGATTAAATGAATAAAAAATCCAGTTTCGTATGACTTAAATTCTTAAAATGAATGTCTCGGAAATCTAAATTAAGGGAATTTTTACGTACCTTTTGTGTCCCATTACAAGAGCGTTCCAGGCACTGGTACCGAGGGGATCAATATGGATTCCGGTCCCAGACCTAGCAGGTCCCATTACAAACCATCTATAAGGAGGTCTCCTGTTTTCACCAGAATACTTTAATAAATCATCTCTAAAATAATACGGTACTTCATAATCTTCTAACAATTTCTTTCTTCTCTTATGCTGTAGTAATAAAATAAGTCAAGTTAAGAGGATATCAGTCAAGAGAAAAGAAAAATTAGTAGTAAATATATCATACGTATTACACATTATGGTAAATTTGTTGTGAATGATACTTGTCTTTTCTCGGGACCGATAAATTCATAGTGAATGATTTAAGCGATAAAGTTTGATCTAATGAAAATTTAAAAAGTCACGAGTAAAAAGAAATATATATATATATATATATATATATATATATATATATATATATATATATATATATATATATATATATTGGGTTCACCCAAGGGGAGCTCGAAGTTTTGGTTACTTCAGCTATCAGCTCGTCCAATATCTGGATTTGGGCAGGATGCAATTTTTCTCCAAATAGAATTTTAGAAATTCGTTTTCTTTTCCTAATTAGGAAAGCTAAAATAGTTAAAAATATTATAACAGACGTGGTGCTCAGTCCTATTGATAATCGGGGTAGTACGTCTATGGTATCTAGTGGTTGAATTTGACCATGTGTCTCTGGGATTGTTAATTTTTCGATTTCCATCTCATCGTTTGGTATTAATTTTATTGGAACAATTTTTGGAATGGAAATGTCTTGTGTCGTCTTTTTATTAAATTTGATACCTTTAATCATTCTTGGTACATCTGTCGTCAAGAGGCTGGTTGAATTAATTTCTATCTGCTGGATTTTCATCGGGTGAACTATTCCTAGCAATATGACTTTGCTGGTTTCTTAGAAAAAGTTCTCCGTGATTAATGTTTTTGTGCAATTATCTACATTGGGTATGTTACATTTGGATTGTACGTAATTGGAACAGACTATGTTATCGCCTTGTCCTATACAAGTGTCGAACCATTTATTATTTGTATAGTAGCTTGCAGGTGGCAGAATCATAACATGATCTTTGTTTGGAATGGGGTATATTTTATAGGTAGTGTAAGGAATTTCATGGAGTATAGGGATTTTAATTATTATGAGCATTGTATTTGAAGTTACACAAACTAAAGTTTCTGTTGACTCTATAAATTCATAAGGGTGTTCATTGCTATTGGGGATTGAATTTCTGGGATACATTTTGAGGTTTTCTTTAAGGTCTATTATTTCTTTTAGAGTGAATAATTCTATATTAGAAATATTTAGTTCAGATAAAGTAATGGTTCTAATAAGTTTCATTAGAAATTCGTTGATATTTTGGAGATTTATTATCTCATTGTGTAGAATGATATAGCTGTCGAAATCAGCTGATAATTTGTTAAGTGCAGATATGAGAATTTAATTACCAGAATTTAATTTTTCTAATAGTTTATCGAATCTCGTGTTAAAAGAGTTTCCATAAGACATTTGGTTATTAAGTTTTTTAATAATTTCATTTTGTTTATTTTCTAAAGAGATTATATGTGATTTTAATAAGTCTAAGTCAAGTTGTCAGAATTTCAATTTATTCGGAATTTCCTGAATACTGAGTGGATGGACCAGGGCGAGGATTGTCCTGTGCAAAATTTGGGTCTTGAGTAGGTTTGTCTACATGTTTTCATATTCGTTTGACATATTTAAGGTGAGTGCTTGTTAAATTTTGTTTATCTGTTTTACCGATAATTTTCGTTTTGTCTTGTGTTTCTGGATGAATAGTGGAGAAAGGGGCTTGTAATTTAGACTTATGTTTTTTCTTAGAAACATATAGGGATTTTGTGAGGTCTATTTCCGGAATATCGTCGGCATTTTCGTTTTGTCTATCTAAAAGTTGTTGGCTTTTTTGTTTTTGTTTATTATATAGTTCTGCAATAAAGGGTTGAGTTCTTTTTATGTCTATGATTATATGTTTCGTATATCGGAAGATCAAATTCGAAATGTATTTCTTCTGCATAGGGTCCGTACAGAATTGAGAAAGGGGAATAATCTGTGGAACTGTGGATTGATTGGTTGTAAATGAGAATGGCATGTGTAAGAATGTCATCTAACGAATAGTTTGGATTTTAAGCTTGTAAAGTCTTAAGTTTTTCAATAAGAGTTGAATGAAAACGTTCTACAGGAGAGTTTCAGGAAGAATTGTTTACTGTTGTAAAATGTATTTCGATTTTGTGGATATTTAGAAATTCTTTAATGACTGCAGAATTCGATGTCGCTGTCGCATACAATCTTTTTTGGATAATTATGGTGCGAAAAGTAATGTCTCAATATATTAGGTATGTAAATGAAAGTTTTATCGGTGAGCTTATAGCATATCGGAAAAAGAATCTACTATTGTGAGGTACAGGTTTTTATTGCAGTTGAATAGATCGATATGTAATATATCAAAAGGTTTTTGACCTAACAACGGTCCTAATTGGGGAAGTTTGTAAGGAAGTCGTTCGTATTTATTTTTTTAGCAAATTTCGCATCATTTATTGATAAAATTCGAAATAGTTGTCTGCATTGAGGGATAATAAAATTTTTGTTTTAAGTGTTCGTAAGTTTCAATTATTCCGTTGTGCTTTTCTACATGATATTTCTTTATGCATTCTATTTGTTGATTTTCTTCTTCTATGTCTGAAGTAGTATATTGCAAAATATTGCTTTGACCGTGGAATTTATTTTTTCTTTAAAATAGTTACAGATAAAAGGTCTAAATTCGTGAGGGATTGTCATTGCAAATTTTTGGTTTGGTCTAAGGATATTTTGGGAGGTATTTGCTATTTCTGTTTTCCAATTATTTGTCAAAGTGACAGTGTAACGGTGTTTGTCAAAAATTCTTTTGTATTTTATTTCAAAATTATTTTACTCTGGTTTAAGCATAAATTAATTGGTTCAGGTGAAAGCTCTATTCCAGTGATAGAGTTCTCAAGTGATGTATGTTGTGTGTTAGTACTGTTTTGTAAGTTATCAAAATCGGCAAGGAAATCGTCAATGTCGAAATTGTCGGGTGGTTCAGCACATTATGAACTAGAGCTTAAGGCATTTATTTGGACTCGGCTAAGAACATCGGGAACTTGATTCTCTTTGCCTTTTTATATTTGACTTCACAATCATATTCTAGTTTAAGTCTCCATCGGGCTAATCTAGAAGTGGGGTCTTTAATTTTGTAGATCCATACGAGAGGATTTTGATCTGTTTCTACAGTGAATTTTTGGTTGTATAAATACATACGGAAGTGTTTACAAGAGTCTAGTATGGCTAAAAGTTCTTTTTCAATAGTGGAGTAGTTTTGTTCTGCGGAATTAAGAGTTCGAGAATAGTAGGGAATAGGGTGGTTGTTTTGAGATAATACTGATCCTATAGCTATATTAGAGGCGTCTGTAGTCAGTACAAAAGGTTTTTCGAAGTCTGGGTATTGTAGAACTGGAGAATTAGTTAACAACTGTTTGCATTTTGCACAACATTCTAAATAATTTGGATTAGTAGGGTCAATAGTTGCTCCTTTCCGAGTACATCTCGAAAATTTTGGCGTTATTTTTGCGAAATTGGGTATAAATCTTCGGTAGTAACCGATTAAACCAAGAAATGATTTAATTTCTTTTACTGTTTTTGGTAGAGGATATTTTTGTATAGCTTCGATTTTTGCTGGGTGAGTACGGTGAAATTGACGGTCGAATTATCTTATTATCTAATAAATGATTGATTTGTTTTTTTTTATTTCCTCCTGCATTGTTTTAGGATGACGAAAACCCTTTACGTAAATCGGATTTTCATCTTTCGTTTTAACTTCATGTCTAACAGCTGACGTAAAAGTTAAACGTTTATTTTCATTGTAAAATACGTCTTTGTACTTCTTACAAAGATTTATAATTTTATCTCTCTTCATTATTTAAATGAGAAGTGCGTATCGAATGTTCAGTGAAAGCTGAGCCAATGTGTTCTATTTCATAGTTACAGAAGTTCTCAACTTCGATTATCTTATTAAAGCCTTCGATGGCTTGAAAATCCTGATGATTTTCATCGTGCAAATCGGGTTCTTGTTCGGATTCATAATTTTCGAAATATTGAGTATCATTCGAGTTTATGTTAAAATTGTGGCTTCTATTAGTTCTAATTGTTATGAGCTGATGGTTTCTAGTTGTGGTAGTTTGAACACCGCTCATTGGAGTGGCAAAATTTAGTTGGGATCGAGCAGCTTTATATTTATTTAATCTTTGTTGGGCATTTTCGGGACATTGTTTCGTTGGAAGAATTAGTTTTGTTCATAAGAACCGAAATTTTGTCTCTGAGGAAACTTGTAGTTCTGTTGTGGAGTGAAGTTAAAGTTGGGCTCTGTGTTGTGGAAAAGTGTGTTGCGAGTCGAAGGTCTCACATAATTTGAATGTGTGGGTTGAAAGTTTGAATGCGTGGGTTGGAAGTTTGATAGGGTTTATTTTTCATTGGGCGCTTTTTGTTTTGTTGGCTCTTAAGGAAGTTCATGTATTGTTGCTGATTTTTGTGATTATCGTATGCAATACACTTTTGAAGGGCTTCCTCTAAGGAATTTAATTCAAAATGCGATAAGTATTCGCAATAAGGTTCATTGATTCCAGTACAGAAGGTAAGGAAGGGTAATGTTCTTAAAGTATGGGGTTTTGAAGGTTACTGTTGCGGGATTGTGGTTTAGGGTGATGTGTTGGAGTAAGTCATTCAGATTTGTAGTTATTCTTTGATGATAAATGTCGTAGGATTCATTGTTTTTGGACGGTGGTGGATAATTGTGTTACTAATATGTCTTCGGAACGTCTGTCTCCGTATTTAGTTAATAAGGCTGGACGAATCTCTGTCCAATTGGTTTTATTAGAATAGTTAAAGAAATTTCTAGGTTCTCCTTTAATTCGAGATACGATGTGGGAATTTAGAATAAATGCTTGGGACGGATTTAAATCTTGGGTGCCTAAGAAATCTATTAAATTATCTTCTGCTTTAATAAAGGTGGAGAGGTTGTCTCCAGAAGAGAATTCGGGCAAAGTTGAGCAAAGGCTAGCAATATCGCTATTGGTCATCGGCATTTTGGATGTAATTTAGATGCAGGCTTGGATTTAGAGGTTTGTAGATTTCTTTTATTTTTAAA